GCTGAACCTTGCCCGGGAAGAGGCTGTACCTTTTTGCTGTCTTGATAGGGCATAAAGCTGGACTGCAGAAAAAGATGAAAGGCTCCTCGGGGCTGCTCCCCAGACTGCCTCCTGCCCCCAGGTGGGCGCTGGGGCTGGCTGAGAGGAGCTTCGCCTGGCAGGGACATGTCTTCTGGAGGGAATCAATTCCCCAGTGTCTGTTAGACTTCTTACATTCTGACCGTGTAAGAAGCCCCTCACTCCTGATGAAAGAGACAGGGCTTCAGATGAGATGTTCCAATTACATGGAACTTGTATAGATCTAATGAACTTTAATAATCATAGGTGGATCAAATGAATGTGGATAGGGAAAAATCCCTTTTAAAACTCAGTGACATTGACATCTGGGGTAGGATGGTCCAGGTCCTGCCCTGGGGTCTGTTTGATGGAACAAGAGTGAGGCTCTGAAGCCTGAGGTGTGTTCCCAGCCTGCAGTCTCCTCCTAAGGGAGGGGGTCCTCAGGAGGGTTTCACTGCATTAAATGCTTGGATTCACGCCAGTTCTGCCATCTCTCTCCTGACTGATTGGACCAGCCATTTCTGCCAAGTACAGTCTGAATAGAAGGGAGGGACATTTTTCTGCAATGACTTGGCACAGAGCTCTACCCGATAAAGATGCTCCATGCACAGCATTGCCAGTTAGATGCAATCAGATGCTCTCTGTGGCAAAGGTAGCCGGTCTCCTCCCATTATCCATCTCTCCCTTACCCTTAGGAATAAGGTGGAGGGGAAGCCCTTAATTAGGTTGGTGGGGTAATTTAAGTACCTGAAAACATTTTGTTGTTAGATCATACAATTGAAGTGGTTTCTTTAAAAATCTATAAGTGCAGTTCAAAATGTTTATGGGGATTTAATGCGCTGTTTGTAAATGTCACTGAGTTTTAAAAGGGATTTTTCCCCATCCACATTCATTTGATCCACCTATGATTATTAAAGTTCATTAGATCTATACAAGTCTTATAAAGTGAATGCTGACACCTTTGAGTAACTGGGTCTTCCAAGGTTCCCAGACCCAATTTCAACATGGGATGAGTGGGGGCTGGGGGGAGGGCTCCATGCACCAAGCAATTTGCGGACACCAGCAGGGAGTCCAATAATTCGACTCATTTCTGACACTACGTACCCAGAGATAGCATCAGATCCCACAGGTTTAGGTCTCCATCCTACAAGACTGCCCCCAACCTCACTTCAGATGCCAACGGGAAGCCCCAGGCTGTTACCAGGGTTCCTGACCCTGTGGCTGTAGACGGGGAAGGCCAACAGCCTCCTCCCCAGGTTTGGTTAATTAGCTTGAGCAGCTCACAGAGCTCAAGGAAACAATTACATTTATCAGTTTATTAAAGGACGTGATAAAGGCTGTGAGTCAACAAGCAGCCAGTGGATAGATACATACGGGCGGGCGAGGTCCTGAGCAAAGGAACACCTGTCTTGTGGATCCTGGGGCCTGGCTGGGTGCCCCTGGAGGCGTTCTGGCCCCCCAAGCACGGAAGCTTTCCAAAAGAGGCACCACATGCTCTTCTTTTGGGTTTTTAGAGAGGCTTCATTACATAGTCATGACGACTGAGTCATTGGTCGCTGGCTGATTCGATCTGCACCCCCTCTCCCCTCACTGGAGGTGGAGGTGAAGGGTGGGACTGAAAGTTCCAACCTAGGGTCACCTTCATAAATAATAAGCCACCCATTTCACCTTTATGACTCTGAAGCATTTTTAGGAACTGTGGATAAAGACCAAATATAGATTTCTTATAAATCAGTATATTGCCGTAGGTTTTCGGGTTTTGTTAACTTTAGAAATAAAATAGTTAATTTATTATCAAAAATCGGTTTATCCACCAATAGCAGAGACTTGTGATCTGGGACAAACAAGCTATGGCAAAACCATAGGTATGTCCGGAGAACTAGGGAGAGGACAGCTCCTTTATAGGAGAAGGACAAGTAGGGAGGGCTGTTCTAAGCAAGTCCCCTGGAGGAAACAAGAGTCCCGCATACCATGGCTTCTCATTGGCGGAACTGCGACGGTCTCTCATTGGGCGGGCTGTTACCAGGGAGGCAGAAACCTTCCTTCCTCCTGCTGGGTGGTAAGGTAGCTAAAGCAGCATGGCCTTGTAAGGCTGGGTCTGTACCTGATGGGGTCCGAGATTCTTGAGGCATGGCAGGCGTGAGGCTTCTGCTGGCCTCCTGACTCCACTTAAGTGGAGGTTTCCCTTTCCTAGTTGTCACTGTGTATCACTTTAATAAACCAAGTATTGATCTGAGAGATCAACATAACCAGAAATAGACTGCTCTGGGCATAGTTTTCATCCTTGGGTATCTGAAAGGCTTACTTACACAGACAAACTGGCTGGGGGATCCCTTCCATCACGACACCTGTTTCTTTCTGCCCGTTTTGTACATAAGCTTCAAGATGGCCCGTGTGCAGAATTCTGGCAGAACTGCCATGTGTGGAGTTGGCAAGACTCAACGAGAACACAAGCTAAGCATGTTCCATCTAAGACAGAGAAAGTGGGGCTGCCAACAACCCCAAGAAAGGCCACACTTACAGATCAAACCAGAATTTGCTTCGAATGCAGAAGGAAGCCAGTGACTTTCTAAGGAACACAATCGACTGTGGGCCCCATCATATTCTCTCCTACCATTCTGCCTGCCTGCGTTGGCCAAGCAGCGCCCCTGACAGTGATGACCCCAAAGAGAAGCGCAGCCAGGGCACCCAGGGTCCCTTCTCCTTTCAGTCCTTCCAGCTCATCAGGAAGCTGAAGGCGGCAGGAGTTGGTCACATGTGTGCGTATCAGGAAGTGGAATAAAAACAGTTGAGTTAACGGGGAATGTTATGGACTGAATTGTGTTCCCCATAAAATCCATATATGGAATTCCTTGCCCCAACTCAGGACCTTTGAAGGCATAACTAAATAAACACAAGGTCATTAGGGCAGGCCCTGGTCCAGCAGGACTGGTGTCCATACAAGAACAGGAGATCAGGACCCCCAATGCACCCAGAGACCATGCAAAGCTGTAGGGAGGCGATGTCAGTCTGTAAGTCCAGGGCAGGCCTCGGAAGGAACCAACCCACTCACGTCTCCACCCTGGACTTCCAGCCTCCAGAACTGTGAGAAAATGGATTTCTTATTGTTTAACACCCTTCCCCCGACCCCAGTTTGTGGTGCTTCGTTACAGCCACCCTAGTCAACTAATAAAAGTGTTAGTGTTTAGTGGGTACAGTTTCCCTTTGAGACAATGAGAAGTTCTGCAGATGGATGGTGGTGATGGTTGCACAATGTCCTAATGTCACTGAACTGGGGTACCTTGTGCCCCGAAGCCTCTATTAAAATCCCACTGTTAGCCTACCGGTGTGGAGCAAAGCCTCCTGGCACACAAAGGCACTCATATCAGGCAGGACATTCTAAGGACATAGATGTTATCTCCCACGAGCATCACACTCGTCCTTGACTCAGGTTGAACTCTTTACTATCTGAGTCCATGTCTGGGGCTCATCTCAGATCACAAACGGGACTAGCCAAAAGGCATTCAGGCTGCTGTTTGTATAAAAGAGGAAATGTTGAAAGAAACTAAATGTTCCCAGATAGGGGGTTGATGGAATGCATCGATCCAGGGCCAATTCGGTGGAATACTATGCAGCCATTAACAAGGAACAGCGACACTACAGAAGGGAGACCTTCATAGAGGTTAAAGGCAGGAGATCAACTTTGCATGCCTTCTGGGGGTGAGCTTATACTCAAATACTGGAGAGAACCAATTAAAGAACTTCAATGGTAACATATTATTTTCCTATGAAAACAAATAAAAATGTGTTTTATAGTTGGCTGCAAATATTTATAAGGGTTTTCAGAACACAGTAGAAGACATCAGAGAAGTTAACAAACCACCACTCAAAAGTATATATTCACCTTCCTCTGACAAAACTTGAGTTTAATGTTGGAGAAGCCCAGATAAAGGACATTTAATGGCATGATTTCACTTTGGTAAAAATATGTATACATACATGAGTATATATAAAAGCAAAACTGAAAAGATTTATAGGAAAAATCTGGGTATATCTCCATGTGGTCTAATTATTACAAGCAATTTTTTACAGTATTAAGTTGGAATAAATTATATATTTCTTTAATATAAAAATATGTATATTTCTACATGTAACATGTATATATGTCTAGATATTATATGTGCCTAGAAAAATACTTCAATATCCCATTTTAAATTATTTGAAATATTTATAAATATATCTAAGTATTCATAATAAATCATTTTGTTATTTAAGTTAATCATTAAAATAGTACTAGCTCTAGATTTTTTGCCCTGCTAAGAATTCTCCGCATGTTCTACGGCCAATGCGCTCCGTTTGCAGCTGAAGCAGTAGTGTTTGTTCCCAAGCGTAGAGCGAAAGACCTCGCGGATTGAGCATTTCCGGGACGTGCTCTCTCAGCCTGTTGCGTTCTCCAAATCCTGTTCAGCTCACCTATCTCTCCCGGTCTCCTGCGTGCAGCAGCTCTGCCCTGAACTTTACTCCCAATGGGGAGCTTCAGGACTAGCGTCCAGGTGCAGCACCAGGGAGTTCCGTACATTTTGGTTCAGACACATGAGCTCATTCATGCCCCGCAGCCCTTCGAATGGCCACGCGGAGCAGGACGCGATGACAGGCGGCATCCTTAGAATGCGCTGTCGTGGAGGTGGGCCGCGGCCCGTTGTCAAATGGGACAAGGCAATTTAAAACTTGGGAGCCACACTGCAAAGGTAAAATAAAAACGGGACACATGTTCAGAGAGTCTGAATCTTGATTTTGTGGTGTTTTTTCAGCATTTTCTGGTTTTCCTACAGGTAAGCCCCTGTTTTTGTGGTTACCTGGACAGAATATATGTATGCAGAGTAGGGTAAAGGCAACATAGAGTCATAAAGATAAGACCGGCCTCCCAGAGCACCGCCTCCCACCGATCCCGCCCTGCGGTTCAGTCTCCCTGGTGGCAGAGCAGGGCCTGAGACGGGCAGAGGAGGCTGCCTGCTCCCTGGAGAGACCCCCCCCCGGGGAGGAGCTTGCAGCTCATGGACATTTGTGGGCCAAGAAGCAGCCTCTGGAAGGAGCTGGTCCTCGTGGGTAAGAGAGAGCCGAACTTTCGGGAAGAGGAGGGGGAGACGGGACGGGAGCACGGCCGTCACCAGGACGCTCGTGAGCTCACACACTTGGGCACCCCCTCCCCCACCCCACACGCAGTGTCTGTCTGTATCCACCCAGGAGTGATGAACCTGGCCCCCACCCTCACCTGCCTGCAGTCACCTCCTCCAGGTGCCCCATCGGTCCTGATCCCCTCCCCCACCCTTCCTGGGGACTCCTTCCCAGCCCCTCGCTTTCCCCAGGACCCTCTGCACCCGCCTGACAAGCACCGCTGTCAAGCTTCCCTGGCTGCCAGGTGTCCTGTTCTCAGACACCTCCAGTGTGCACACCTGGAGGCCTGGAGCTGGGGTCTCAGGTATCTTGGCCTCTTCCATGGTGCCTAGGTCTAGGGGTCACAGAGCAGTGAACGCCTGCCTGTGTCCCAGGTGATAACAGATCCTGCCCCGTTCATATCTACTCCATGGAATTTAGACGCTAAATCAAAAACAGGTGTAGACAGTCTTGGGGGAATTTTATCTGCCCAGATGATCACGCTGGGCAGTCCCACTGGGTTCTGCCCTGTGCTCAGGGGTACTAGGGACACGGTGGTGATCAGGACAGCCCTCCTGGGGCTCACAGTCCAGTGAGAAATGCAGACCTGTCACCACACTCCCCCAACCCAGAGTGGTGGGTACTGGGATGAAGGGGGGCCCAGGGAGGCTGGGGGAGCCCCAGGGGCCGCCTGATCCAGGCTGGGGAGGAGGAGACATCAAAGCTGAGAACTGAAGGATGAGAAGTGAGTCAACAAGGAGGTTGGAGAAGGGGAGGGAGGAGCAGGGATCAGTGTGCTAGAAATGAGGAACAGCATATGTGAAAGCCTGAAGTCAGGAGGCAGTGTCATGGAGAGAGGTACATGTATTATGGGGGCACACAGTGTGGATGCCGTGTCTTCTGATGAATGACTACATGAATGAAGGCATGTATGAAGGAAGGAAGGAGGAAGTATGTGGGGTGATGGGGTAGCAGCCATGATCTCAAGGAAGGCTAGGTGAATCATGAAGACCAGCGTTCTCTTAGAGTGCCTCATAAGTCATGCAGAGTTGGAACTTTATGACAGTGCCAGGGAGCCAGGGAAGGTACTGGAGCAGGGGGAGAGCAAGGTCACAGTCGGGGCTTTACAAGGATCCACATAACTGTCACGTGAGGGTGAAATGGAGGCCGAGTGCCCAGGGAGGAGGCCAGGCTAGAAGAGGATGAGAAAAGAATGGACAAGGGTGGGGCTGAAGGCATGAACAGGGGGGAGCTGGCCGGGGATCTCTCAGGAGCCAGGAACCCTGGCCATGTTCACGGGTATCTGTGCATAGTTGCCTCAATGGTGTAAATCAACCTCTCCCTTTGTCTTCTTTAGCCAGTCTGCTGGCCTGGGGGAGCCGCCAGGCCTCTGGTCAACTCTCCATCATTCCAGACTCGCTTATAGGGGTCAAGGGATATCGGAGCCTCCTGACCCTTGAGAACGTCCCTGAGAATGTTTGGGAATACAGCTGGCACCGGGGTGCAGAAGACAGTGTGGACAACATGATCGTCAGCTACAGGCCTCCGTCTGATTCCTGGCAGACTGGGCCTGTGTTCAGTAGCCGGCAGAATGTAACCAGGAAGGGCGACCTGGTGTTCAAGAGCACCGAGCTGCAGGATGCAGGGAACTACACCGTGCGGGTGGACAGTGGCAACGGGACCCACAGAGCAACGGGCTGGTTGGAGGTTCGTGGTGAGTTGGCAGGTTGCCCTGTTTCCCAACCACAGGGAGGGTCGGGGGGCTTTGGGAGGGGGATTCCTTGGAGGTCATATTGTCCGAGTCTCTCACCCACCTCCAGATGGAAGTAGGAGCCTTGGCAAATGGTTGTCCAGCTTCTCCCAAAGCGATGGTGGCTTCCTAACTTCAAGGGCTGCGGTGTCACTGTCTGTGTATCCGCTATCTCCTGCCGCCTAACAAATAGCAACTGGCAACAATGCCCACTGGACGTGGTTTCTGCGGGTCTGAGTCTGGGCATGGCTCAGCTGGGTCCTGTGCTCTGGGACTCCTACAGTACTGGCCGGGGCTGCGCTCTTAGTGGGACTCTGCCCAGAGGCATCCCACGTGGTGGCCGTTTGCATCTTCACGATCAGCCAAAGTACCTTGCTCTCTGCTTTGCTCGGAAGGGGTTTTATGTAGCATAAGTGATGATGGATGGAAATGACAGGCCTTCTCTGTAGGAGAAAGTCACGGGTCCCACCCACATTTGAGGGGAGGGCATATGGGGTATAACACCATGGGGTAGACAGAGTTCATGGGGCCATCTTGGAATTCTGTCTCCTACAGACAGCTCCTGGGGTGCCACAGGGCTGGGGGAAAAATGTGGATTTTGAAGACTGGAAGTCCTGTGTTGACCTCTGAGTCCATATACCCTGCATGGCCCTGGGCCTCCGTCTTTGCTCTGTGAGCCTGTTTCTTCTCCCGTAGAATGGGGGCAGTACGTTCCACTGTGGTCTGTCGTAAGGCTGGAGGGAGTATTTGTAAAGTGAATGAGATAATGGGAGCAATTATGGAGAATCCAGGTGCCACGTCACTGTGAGTTCTACCCACGGCCCCTTGGATGGCAATGTCCTGGCTTGGGGGTTCAGAAACCATCATTAGGCCCCATGCCCATGCTGAGAACTCACCATTATTGCAGCAGATGTCACGAACGATGGGCCGGTGCAGTGCCGATCTCAGCAGCTCGTGGCTGCTCCCCACTCCTCTGTCTCTCTCAGCTCCTTCCCAGACTCCAGACTCCATCTTAAAACACCAACCTGTGCCAAAACCCCCCTTGGAGAGAGCAGAGCTCGGGAAGGCAGACCCCACCCCTAATCTTTGTTTCCCCACTTCCCCCAGAACTGGAGAGAGATCCTGTCATCTGGGCCAACACCACGTCCGTAGGGGAAGACATGGACCCCGTGGCCGCCTTCTGCCACACCAACGGCACCAACATCAAGTGGTATGTGAATTACATTCCAGTGTCCAGCAATGACCGGATGACCATCTCCCCGGACGGCAAGACGCTCGTCATCCTCAGGGTCAGTCGCCATGACAAGGAACTTCACTGCTCAATAGAGAGCATCCCAGAGATCGTTCAGAGAAGTGACGTGATCTTTCTGGATGTGGCTTGTGAGTCATCTGGGGTCTGGGAGTCAAGCCGGGTGGGCTCTGGGCTTTCCCAGGACGTGACGTTAGGAAGGCAGAACGTGAGAGGAAGCATCGTGAGTCTGCCTGCAGCCAGCTCGGTCTGGGTTCGAATCCCAGGGTTCTGAACTTTAGAACCACCCTCGCTGCTCAGAACCACAATGCGCCCAGTTTACAATGGGGACCCTCATCTCTGATTCTTAGATTAGAAATAGTGTGAAGTAACTGTTGAGAATTGGCTTTGGTGTAAAGAGGGGACTGCTGTCAACCAATTGTGCTTACATTTGACATTCAATTTATTAAGGTTTCAAAACCCAACTTTCCCTTGAGTCTTCAAGTTCAATTCATTGAATTTTTTATTGATAAAAATTCATATTATTTCATGGATCTGTTCTCCTAAATTTACTAAAACCACCTTCACTTTTTTGTTTACTCAGACTGAACCAACACACTCCTTTAAATGGATGGTTCCACTTAAAAGCTAAATTACACATTTCATGCTTTCTCATATTTAAAACCCTCTGACTGCCTGCCATGTCAAGTTTGCAACCCAGCAAGTCCTCCTCAAATTTGCAAATAGGTCTTGTGAATCAAAGACGTTGAACTTATAAATCCAATAAAATTCAGAGTCTTCAAATGTTCCAGAATGGTTCACATGTATCAAACCCTTTCAATCTTTCCACTGGGGAAAATCACACGTCTAGTATCATTTTTTTTATTAAGGTATCATTGATACACCCTCTTATGAAGGTTTCACAAGCATAGCAATGTGGTTATTACATTCACCCTTATTATCGAGTCCCCACATACCCCACTGCAGTCACTGCCCATCAGTGTAGTAAGATGCCACAGAGGCCCTATTTGTCTTCTCTGAGCTACACTCTTCCCATACACCATGTGCACCAATCATGATACCCCCACAATCCCCTTCTCCCTCCCTCCCCCCCTCATCCCCTTTGGTAACCACTAGTCCCTTCTTTGGAGTCTGTGAGTTTGCTGCTATTTTGTTTCTTCAGCTCCATTGTTATGCTCCACAAATGAGTGAAATCATTTGGTACTTGTCTTTCTCCGCCTGACTCATTTCACTGAGCATAATACCCTCCAGCTCCATCCATGTTGTTGCAAATGGTAGGATTTGCTTTCTTCTTATGGCTGAATAATATTCCGTTGTGTATATGTACCACATCTTCTTTATCCATTCATCTACTGATGGACGCTTAGGTTGCTTCCATATCTTGGCTATTGTAAATGGTGCTGCCGTAAACATGGGGGTGCATCTGTCTTTTTGAATCTGAGAAGTTGTTTTCTTTGGGTAAATTCCTTGGAGTGGGATTCCCAGGTCAAATGGTATTTGTATTTTTTGAGGAACCTCCATATTGCTTTCCACAATGGTTGAACTAGTTTACATTTCGTACCAGCAGTGGAGGAGGGTTCCCTTTTCTCCACATCCTCGCCAGCATTTGTTGTCTTTTCGATGTTGGCCATCCTCACTGGTGAGGTCTAGTAGCATATTAACATCTACATCTGGAACCACTCTGCAGTGAGTCCGATTTCCTAACTGCAGGCTGTGGTGATGGGTCCAGGAAAGCCATCATCACAGAGTGAGCAACTTCTGACCTCCATATGCTGCTTACTGGCCGGAGGTTTGCAGCCAAGACCCAGGACCCAAGGGTAGCAGCTGTTGAGGAAAATTCTACCTGCCCATAGGGGGACTTGCTCAGCCCTTTCGTAGGTCAGTAGGGGATTATTAAATCCCTAATCCTCTCTTCGGAGTCTCAACTTCTCCATCTGCAAAATGGATTGATCATAGAATCGGTCCCACAGGTTGGAATAAAGCAAGCTGTTGTGAACACGTAAAGGGGTTAGAACAGTGCCTGGCAAGCAGTCCGCCTGCACCTGCTCTATGATGCTGAAAAGAGCTACCGTGGGGCTGGCCTGTAAGAGGCACTTGATAATGGAAGGCGTTATTATTACTGTCATTGTTTGCACAGCTGTCGGTGCCTGGGGTAGGTCTCGGGATCGGCTTGGGTGCAGAGAGAGGGCACCTCCTGGTTTGGGGAGGACTTCGTGTGGGTGGAGGGAACTGTGGGGCCCTGAGGGTCAGAAACATAGCTCTGGGTCTCCCGATGTCTTTGCAGATGGGCCGGACAGTGCGCAGCTATGGAGCACCCCCACAGCCTTAAGGGGCATCGTGACTGCTGAGCTCGGCTCCCAGGTCCAGATGGAGTGTACTGCCACTTCTGAACCAAGACCCAAGTACTACTGGAGCCACAATGGCTCCCTGTTGAGCTTCTTGGAGAAAAACATCACCCTCCTGAATCTGACCTGGGAGCAGATGGGCAGATACAGATGCGTCCTGGAGAACCCCGTGGTCCAGCTGACCCTGTACAGGGAGGTCCTGATCCAGGCGCCCAGTGAGTGCAGCCACTCCCCCTCTGGGGCTCACACTCCCCAAATCCTCCCGCCTCCATGCCTTTGCCAGGGCAGTGCCCATCATCAGGGGTGCCATCTCCACCTTGCAGGGCCATGCCTACCACAGCTAGGTGGAACGCTCCTAACTTCTGTGGCCAGAGTCCAAAGCTGCCTCCTCCAAGAAGCCCCAAGTCCTCAAATCAGAGTCAGGGTGAGTTCCAGGGAGGTCAGGTCAGCCAACATTTACTGAGCCGTTACTGTGTGCCAGCCACCGGTCCATCCTGTGTGACCCCCAGTGGCCCTCCCCTGAGCAGCGACTGTTGTTAGCATCACTTCACGCTTCCGCGGCGAGAAAACTGAGCGGTGGGGGGTTTGAGCGCTTGATTCGAGTTTCCAGTTCTAATCAGCAGAGGAGGCAGAATTTAACCCCTGGGGGTCTGACCACAGGGCCTATGGCCTCGACTGCTCCACTGGCCTGCCTCCAAGACCAGAAAGCCAGCAGGTGAGAGGGGAGGCGGTGTGGGGGAAGCAGAGATCTGTCATGGATGTGGCATCTGAAATTTGGCTTGGAAATGAATTTGTAAATGGAAAAGCACCTTTGCAGCAAATGCACATCCAATCTTCTGCGTCAAGGAGAGAGACTGACATGCTCAGTGGGAGAGCAGACATGGGTGGCAATGAAAAGCAGGGACTCTGAGTCCCGGTGACCTAGGTTAAAATCCCAGTTCTGTCCCTGCCCGTCTGCATGCACCAGTGACAAGCAGCTTCACCTCTGTGAGCCTCAGTCTCCCAGCTGTAGTGCTGGGACAATAAGGGTCCCTACAGGGCAGGGTTGCTGCCAGAGTGAAATCAGACAGTTGCCCAAGAAGCCATTCGCCCGACTTGTCCCAGAGAAAGCCGCAGGCAGACCCTGGATGTGGGCGGGAGACAGTTATTCCAGCACCTAGACGTGCTGCATTTCTTCCACGGTCCGTTCACACCTTTCTACCCTGCCGGGCAGTGAGCTTTGGGAGAACAGAAGCTGTTCAAGCAATTTGCTCACCGTTTGTCTCCAGTGCTCAACACAGCACCTGGCACATAGTTAGTGCTCAGTGAGTATCTGTGTGATGAACTAATGACCCTGGGTAACCAGCACCCCCTACCCGGTCACCTTCTACCCCTTCACATGGGTGTGTTCTCTTTTGGAGCGCGTATTGCTGCCTGCAGTGACATTAGACAGATCTTTGCTTATTTGTCGACTGTCCACTTCCCCGCTAGGATGTCAGCCCCATGGGGGCAGGAAGCTTGTTTTATTCACTGCCGAATCCCTAGTTCCTGGCACAGCGCTCTGCACATAGCAGGTGCTGATAAATCTTTGAAAAACAGACGTGTGGACGAGTGCACGGCGGTGCTGACCCCCACGTGTCCTTCCTTCCAGGGCACATCCCTGCTGTTAGCAGAGGTTTCTCCATCTCGGGACCCTTGGTGGTGTTCCTCATCACGATGACGGTCCTGGGAAGCCTCTACGTTTGTGGAATCCTGATCTATGCCCTGATCAGTCATCTCTCCACCAGGTGCCATGGCCCCGGGTCAAGGGTGGGGTGCTGGCTGGGAGCTGGGACTCCAGAGGCAGCACTCCGTTGAGAGGGGGGAGCAGAGCTGAAGCAGGAGGTGGCTTGTCAGGAATGGTCTCAGGCAGACAGACAGGTCTGGAGGCCCAGAAGCCCGTAGGAGGGAGGGAGGGTTAGGAGTCAGCTGCGCCTGTAAATGGCAGTCGGGTCAGCCAGTGACTTTTCCGTGGACCGACGAGGGGTGTGTGTCAAGCATCCAGTGCGCGTCGGGCCAAGGCAGTCTCTCGTAACCAAGTGAGGTGGAGAGACAGGTAGCAGACGACAGCCCTGCAGGGGAATAGTGGGCTGATGGATGATTAAAATCTGGGTTCAAATCCCAGCTCTGCCTTAGCTGGCTGGGCAACCTCGAGCAGATCATGGCCCCTCCCACTGGAGGATGTGAAGGGTCACCCCTGCCCTGAAGGGTGGTGTGCGGGCCACACACACACCTCGCAGGACGAGGGGCTAACAGCTCTCGGCACAGAGGAGACCAGAGCTTCTCCACCTCAGCGCTGGGTCTGGTGACTGTCCCGGTGATGGTGAGGGGCAGCTCTCCCATGGCAACAACCACTGTCGCCTCCAGTTTAGAGGACCAAAAATGACTCCAGGCATTACTGGGGCAAGACTGCCCCCGCTGAGAGCTGCTGAAGTGGGTGTTAAAAATGGCCGCGAAGAGAGAGATGGCAGCGATGGTAACCACGGCAATTGGTGACGCTGGTGGCAGTGGTTCTGACGGTCACGGTGGTGACTGTGGTTGACAACGGTGATGACGTTCCTTCTGGCGGTGGCACTCGTGGTGATGCTGGTGTACATTTTAGAAAGTGCATCGTTTTTTAAGTTTTGGTATTGAGCCTGTTTGTTATCATTACATGGTGTCTATTCCAAGAAGCTTGCAGAATAGGCCGTCAATGTGACCTTAGGCAAATTAGCCCATTTGTGCTCTAGTTTGCCGTCTGTAAAATGGGAGTAAGGCTGGTACTGACCTCACGGGGATATCCGCTATGGCGATGAAGTCAGGTATTACTGATAAAGAGCTGCGACAAGGCTTGGCACATAACGAGCACTTGATAGAATCTTAGGTGCTGATGTTAATATCGTCATCATTATTTAACGTACAATTCCAAACTGGTGGTGATAAGCTCTAGGGAATTTCAGGGTTTCTCCAGGAGATCTGGGTTATCCCTTCCTCATCTTAGAACAAGCCTCTCGCCAGGCGTAACCCTTCTTCACAGAGAGGAATGAATGGCAACATCTCCCCGGACCCAGTCCCCTTAGAGGTGCCATGTTCTCCACAGTCTGAGGTCTCCAGTCGGGCATGAGGGGAGCGGCCCAGGAGTCAGAGGGTCCAGGTTTAGAATATTGGCCTCTGTCATTTGCTTGGTGTGTGATTTTTGGCTAAGTAACTTCACCTCTCTGAGCTCCTGTTTCTTCATTCTGAAAATGGAGTTGAAGTATCTGCCTTGTGTAACTGTTCGGAGGGTTCAAGACAATTTCTATAAATCATCTACCATAGCGTCTGGCATATAATAGTTGTGAAATACATTATTATTATTATTATTATTATTATTATTATTATTATTATTATTATTATTATTATCACCAGTAGTTTGGCCAAGGAGTGTGAACTCCTTCCCCAGGTACACCCTCCTCTTCTCCCTCCCCCACCCCTGTCCCATGACATCTTCCCCCAGTGACCTCAAGAAATCAGAAATACTAAAAGGTCTGAGGAAAGTTGAGGACTTTCAGTGTAGAGACTACGCCCTGGGTTCATCGCCTCCTACCCCTGAGGGCTCTCAGGGGAGGGCCTGAGGTACCTCAGCTCCCCAGGATTGTCCTGCATTCTCTTTTCCTATAGACCTGAGATGCGACTTCTTCCCTGATGTCTCTCCACAGGCAAACCAGGCTGCGTGAGCATCCGCCTAAGACCAGGCAGACAGGATCGGATGAGCAAAGAGGTGAGGGGGAGATGGGGAAGGGCTGGGAGTCCCCTTGGGGACGAGCTACGCTGGAAAGGGCCCAGGGTCTAACTGGAGGGGCAGCTGAGAGGGGGAACCAGTCCAGCCACACTGAGGCTGGGAGACAGAAGGTTCTGGAGAAAGTCTGGAGATGCCACTTAGGACCTGGGGGGAATGACATCAGGGGCAGCATGGTTATTGGCCACGCCATTTGCCGATCAGAGCTGGCCAGTGGGATGCAGGCTGGGGCGGGTCATGCTTAGAGATCTGGGTTCTAACCCCAAAGCCTTTTCCCCACCAGCAATTGTGCTTTAACTTCATTTTCTTAACCTGACCCTGTGGAACCATCAGAGATGCTGCGAAGATGACCATCTCAGCATTGCCAGTGACAGGGAGTCGGAACAACCTATAAATGCCCAGTAATAAATGCACATGTTGAGCTAATCTGTCATCATTAGAATCCACGCTGGGGAAAGATGCCTGGAAATGTGTAACGTGAAGCTGCATCTGATAGGATCACAGTTATTAAAAGCATAGATTAATTGATTAATATAGATATAATATGCACAGTATGTATGTTTTCTACAGTTATATGTGTACACATATATGTAGGCATATATATATATACACACATACACATACATACCTGTACAAAAATTGTGGAAAATGTTTGTTAACTATTAACAGTGCTCTCTCTCAGTTTCCTTCTTTGCACTTTACTCATGTTCCAAAGTCTTTTTTCCCCCCTCATAAAGTGTACATTGTTTTTGTGATCAGGAAAAGAAAAAACAATAAAATTGAAGTTAGTTCAGACCCCATAATAGCATATCTGGGGCTTTTTTTTTCTGAACTGTCTTCATGGATGTGCCCCAAAATATCTAAGCAAATTTATTCATCTCCCTGGCAGTTACAATAAAAGAAAGAAAGAGGGAAGGAAGGGAGGGAGGGAGGGAGGGAAGGAAAAGGAAAGAACAGCAAGAGAAAAGACAGAGGAAGAAAGAGAAATGCCTTCGTCCGCATCTTCGGGCAGCCTAGCAGCTGCGGCCTTCCCGGCCCTTGGGAGCTGCTTGGCTGTTTGCTCACAGAGCAGCGACGGCAAGGGCCTGGCTCTAGGGAAACTCTCCCGCGGGGCCCACTGACCAAGACCCCCTTGTGGCACCAGGGCTGCCTGCCTGCACTAGGCCTGGTCCCTCTGCTTGCTGGCCTTTTGGGCAGCTCGCCGGGGCCTCCTCTGGGACGGGGATCAGGCTGATCCCTCAGGGGAAAGCTAGGCGAGGAGAATGTACTAGTTCCCGCGGGCTGCTGTGACAAACAGTCACAAATTGGGTGGCTAAACAGCAGGAGTTTCTTTTCACCCAGCTGTGGAGGCTGGAAGACCAAACAGGGTGTCAGCGGGGCCACGCGCCCTGAAGGCTGCTGGAAGACCCTCCTCCTCAGGTCTATGTGACTTCTTCCCTCAGAAGGACTGCTGATGACCTGCAGCTGTGAGTCGTCAGCAGTCCTTGGCTAGTGGCAGCGTCACTCCAGCCTCTGCCTCCTGCGGCATTTGGCCTTCTTCCCTACATGTGTCTGCGTCCAAATGTCCCTCCTTGTGTAAGGACACCAGTCACTGAATATAAGGTCCCCCAATACCTTCTGACCTAATATTAACTTGATTACATCACAAAGACCCTCTGCCCCAAGGCAGTCACATTCACAGGTAGATTCTGGGGGTTAGGACCTGAATATCTCTCTTTGGGGGGACACAATTCAACCCACAACAGCAGACAATCCTTATCAGGATTGCTGGGCTCCATGATGCTTCCCACTGTGCTCCAGTCCCTACCCCCTCCTGAGCTCCTCACCATCCATCCGTCTAGCTGCCTACTGGGTCCTGGTCTCCATGGGGAGGACCCAGAGACCCTCAAGCTCCCAACAGGTGACCCTGACCCGATTCTCTCCACCTCAGCCCTGCCCCCCAGCGCTTGAGAGAAGGGAAAATACGCCTCAACACAGTTGTGTACAGATACGTTTGCAGCAGCTTTACTCGTAAATCTGTCCCCACGCTGGAAACAAACCCAACGTGCATGAACATAAAAATGGAATCCCACTCAGCAGTAAAAAGGAACAAAATCCTGATACCCACAGCGGCACGGACGACTCTCAAAAAACGCAATAGTGATGGAAAAAACCACACACAAGAGTACATACTGGCTGATTCCAATTATGTTAACCAACTATATAATTTATAGTGTAAATGATTTATGAAGTTATATAGTTTCAATTATGTATTATATAACTAATTATAATATTACCTAATATTATGATTAATACATTTCTATTTCAATTATATAACTTGAATTCTATAATTCTGCCAATTTATATCATTCCAATTATATAAAATTCAAGGACATGGAAAGAAGGTCTTTGGTGACAGGAATCAGAAGAGAGGCTTTTAGGTCTGAAAGATTTCTGGGAGGGGGGCACCCAGATCTTTCCGGTGTGATGGAAAACTGCTGTCTCTGATTGGAGTGTCGGCTATACATGTGTGTACACATTTGGCAAAATGCATTGAGTTGTACATCTAAGATCTGTGTATTTCATTATAGGCAAATTTTGCTTCAATTTTTAAAAAGTTATTATTTTTTTAATTTTTGGCAAAAAAACAAATGAATAAACAACCAGCCCCAAAGAAATGGGCTGGGGTCCCTCATCCTTCATCTCCTCACCTGTGCCTATCTTGTCCCTGAGACTGTGTCATTTACCGACTCTCTTGCAGCAAAAAACAAAAGTCCTCAAGGAATGCTCTTACCTGCAAACAGTATGGCCAAGGGGTATGCTGGTGAGACGTTGGACAGCTGCATAACCTCTCTGAGCCTATTTTCTCATCTGCATAGCGGTCAGTACTCTGCATTTCACAGGACCCTTGGGAGCACCTGGCACAGACCCTCACTCAGGCCAGGTGCCAGGCATATGGCCCAGGAGGTCTTACAAGTGTTCAATTGTTTTTAAGGAAACAAGCAGTGGTCAGACTCCAAGGCCCAGTTTGGACCCAGCAAGGACACCCGGCAGTCTCAGAAGAGAGAGCCGCCTCCTGAAACTATGCATGAATCTCTGGGCTCACCTCCTAGGGTGGGGTGGGCTCTGTTCAAGCCCAGAAGGTGCCCTGGGTGGGGCTGGGGAGTGGCACTCCATGTCACTTACAAGGGGACCTTTGTCCTGGGAAGGGATGAGTTTTTTTCCCAGGGAGTGCGGGAACTCAGATGGAAGAGAGGGGGCGTGGCTTTCTGTCTGCCCTTGGAGGGGCCGCCCCTGGGGCCAAGCTACATGGCCACCGAAGGGAGATGGTCATGGGGACCCTGGTCCTTGTTCAGAGAGAATCAGGGCTGTGAGAAGTTCTTCATGATGTTAGTGGTGAAGGTTTGCGATGGTAACCGCCAGCCCTTGTCCCAGGCCCCACCTCCTTGGCCTAGCTCTCTGAGTGATGGTGATGCCAGACTTAAGGCATTTTTTACTCAGCCACAGAAAACGATCCTGTGGATGTTTGCTATTGGGTCCCAACTAAATCTGTAAAGGTTAACTCTAAGGACGTCGTGGAGACAGGTGTGTGTAGGGAGAGGGGGCACTTGCCCTGAATATTAAACTTGGGTTTAGGAAACTGATGGTGAGCACCTAGGCTGGGGAGTCTCTTGGGGTGGTTTGAACTCCCAGTACAGCAGTCAGGGTTCTCCAGAGAAATGAAACCCACAGGCTCCAGAACCCCTCAAAGCCACGAGGAGCGTGTCAGCAAATCAGGGGTAATAATTCCGTAGGTATTGTGCAGAATTCAGCTGGAAACACATTCTGTACCACTTGGGGTCCTCGAGTTTCTATAAGGAATGTGCCCAGGGTGGGGACTCCAGGCTGCAGGGTCTGCACATGCCACACGGGGGATTTCACTTCGGAGAGCACTTAGTAGGGACGTCAGCGATGCTCCGCCGCCTCATCCTTTCCAGGCGTGCCTGGTGGCAGTGATATGGGGATATGAACGTGTCCTAACAGAATATTCCACGTGCAGAACAGATGGATTTTAGAAGAGCAGGTGTGATCCCCTCCCAGGTGCCCCCAGAATCACTGTAAGTCCTTCTCCTAGGCTCCCTCTGCCTGTTGAGTCCACCTCCAAAAACCCAGACGACCTTGCCAAAGTTTCATGTTCCCGTCCTCATTGGCCATCTCAGGCTCAGGGTGGGAGGAGAGAGGAAACCAAGTGGGGAGCCAGGAAAGCCACTGATCACTGTTCCTCATTATGTTATATAATAGACAATTTTATCAGTGTGCAGATGATTACTTTGGATGTCCTTTAAGAAACCTTTGTGTACCCACAGACATTCTCCTGGTTTCCTTCTAGGACAATGCTACCCAATAGAAACAGCATGCAAGCCAAATGTGTAATTTAAAAAATTTAGTAGCCACAATAAAAAGAAGTCAAATGAAACTGTTGCAATTGCTTTTGATACGATTCTATTTAACCTGATAGATCAGAAATGTGACCGATATTAAAAATGATTAATGAGATATGTTACCTTCTTTTTTGCAATACTAAGTGTAGCACATTCCAAGTGCTCAATAGCCGTGTGTGGCTAGTGGCTACCATACTGGACAAGCACAATAAAGCTTTATAGTTTTGGCTTTTACTTTTAGGTTTTTAAATCAACTCAGACTAATTTTTAGTATGTAAAAATTACATATATACATGTGAGAAATAGATGTGAGAATAGATTACATAAATAGATGTGCAAAAGAGGTCAAGGTTCATTTTTTCCAAAACTTGATCCACTTGCTCTACCACCATTTGTTAAAAAGTCCTTCCTTTCCCAATTAAATAGATTTGGTGCTATTCGACTGAATATATATATACATCTGCTGACCAGAATTACTTTTAATTAATATGGAGAAAACCAACATCTTAACAATGTTGTATCTTCCAATCCATGAACATGGTATATTTCTTCATTCATCTAAATCTTCTTTAATTTCTCTTAGCAATATGCTGTCTTTTTCAGCAGGTAAGTATCACATTTTGAAAAATCATTCCTCAGTATTTAATGTCTTTTAGGGCTGTTACAAATGGGCTGTGGTCCAGTTTTGGGGAATTTTTAATGCTTCATCCAATTTTTGGTGTCCTTTCATTATGGCTACTTTAAGGAATGATTGCTGTGATAGACAACTTTCTCCATTTGGGTGCTGTAGGTGAATTTGGGGATCATGTTTCATTCATTAGATGGTCACATGATCATTTGGGAACTTTCCTCATTTGTTTGTTTATATCTATAAAGGGAGATGAGCTATTGCTTGACTTTCCTCTCAAGCTAGAAGTCTATCTCTTGAGCTTGGCTTTCAAAGATAGGAAGATGAGGGCCTGGTTGTAGGGCATTCCAGGAGGAAAGATTTCAATGTGCAAGGACAAAGGTCTGATGCTGGTCATCTCCAGAATTAGGAAAAATTTCCAGTAGGATATTTCTGTTCAAAACACAGGGATCCAGCATGTGTTCTGTGTACACTTGGTTCCAGGCACCCTGATAGGATTTCACTCCTATCATTCTCACCACAAATTTTCAGGTCAGGCTTCTCATCACTGTTGCACAGAGCAGGAAACTGAGGCACAGGGGTTTGATCTCTCACTTACTTAGTATGGGGAGAGCAGAATGTGACTCAAACCCAAAACTCCTTGGTTCAAAAGCCTGTGTTATCTTCACTGTATGTGTGTACTCATTACCTGATGGTGTGGGGGGTGGGGGTTGGTTCTATAGGAATTAGTCCCTGACTTTTTCTTTTCCCCACAGGGGTTGTGATCCCTCAAGCCAAGGCTGAGTCTCAGCAGTTTCTCACTTGTGGATCTTGACCTCTGAGTATTCCACACTGGTGCCCTCTTGTACCTGAGGTTTCCAAGGCTCTGCTTCACGAAAGCTGAGAGATGCATAATGGATCTCTTCTTCCTCCACTGAGGAGGTGGCAGCCACATCTGGGAGAGCCTCTGTGAGGCTACATGCCCAGGATTCAATTAGGGGACCCTGAGTGGAGAAAGAGAAAAGGGAGTCAGAGTAGAAGAGTGGGGACAAGAGAACGCAGAGTGTCCAGGAGGGAAGCCCTTTAATTCCTTTATCCATTCATCCCATACAGAATTTTGTTGAGATCTTTATTCATGCTTTCCTTGAATATTTACTACTTAGTGAGCACACTGTTTGGTGCTTAGTAATCTCATTAACTTCCACAACAACCCCATAAGGAAAACATTATTACTGTCTACACTTTATTGATATGAGAATTGAGACTGAACCAAGCAATGTGCTCAAAATTCCTGGAGAAACCAGGATCCAGTCTGGTCCTTTATGACCCCAAAGTCCGGGATCTTATTGAGGCCTCCTGTGTGTGAGCCCCTGAGCCAGGTGCTGGATATACTGTGGTGGATACAGAAGACATAGGTCCTGACCTCATACAGCTTATTCTTTAATTGAGGGAGGTGGCAAAAAAATAAATGAGTGAAACAAACAAATATCTAATTGTGAATTGTGCTATGATGGACAGAACTGGCTAAGTGAGAGGGAATAACAGGGCCTTGACTCAGGCATGGCACCTACCCTTGGGAAGCTCACAGTTTGGTGGGAGGGCAAGTCAGTCAAGGAAATTATGTCCCTTTGATAGGCAGAATAGGGGAACCTGTAAATGTGTTACCTTACCTGGCAATACGGACTTTACAGATGGATTCAAGTTAAGGATATTGAGATGAGTAAGTTATTCTGTATTATTTGAATGTGCTCAATGGAATCACAAGGGTCTTTGCAAGCGAAAGGGGGCAGAGTGAGAATTGAAGATACTATGCTTCCCGACTTGAACACAGAGGAAGGGCCCACAAACCAAGGAACGCAGGTGGCCTCGAGAAGATGGAGAAGGTAAGAACATGCACTCCTCCCTCGGGTCTCCAGAAGAAACTCAGCCCTGCCTGCCAATGCCTTGACTTTAGCCCCAGCAAAGCCCATTTTGTAGTTGTGACCTCTGGAACTGTAAGATAACACATTTACATTATCGGAAGCCATTAAATTTGTGGCATATCATTAGAGCCACAATAGAAAACTAAGACAGACTCAGGAGAGAGTAACAATGTTGTGTCTTCCAATCCATGAACATGGTATATTTCTTCGTTGGTTTGAATCTTCTTTGCTGGGGCTTCCCTTCTTTGCTGCCGCCCTTGACAAGAGAATGCTTCAACAGGATTATTCATGTTTTTGTTCCTCCCTTTCTCCCTGATCATTCAAGTTAAAATTCATGGACACACACACACAGACAGCTGCTTTCCAACACTGCTTTATCAAGACCACTGCTTAGCAAATGGTCATCTTTCAGTCCTCGCCTCTCTGAACTTTGCAGCAGCTGGCAGCTCAGTTGCATGCCTTCCCCAAATGCAAGCCCTTCTTTACTTAAGAACAAGGCATCACACTTTTCCGGGTGCATGGATACGCTGGCACCCCCTTGGGGTTGCCATCCATTTCCCTGACTCGTAAATATCAGAATAGCCCTGGACTCTTTCCTTCTCCAGCTTTGTTTTGCATCGTCTCTGGGCTGATGGCTCCTAAATCCTGACCTCTCTTGAACTGTATGCAGACTCTGACATGACAGTAAACTTGAAACCTCCATTCCCTTGTCCAAAATGCACACCAAAGAACATATTCAAGTGGAACTTCTCCCCCAAGTCTCTCCCTCCTACAATGTGTTCTGAACCACAATGATCCAAGCCTCCATTCTTCCAGCTGCTCGGGGCAAACATCTAGGAGGCATCCCAGACTCCTTTCTGTCACTCATATCCCACTCTTAGTCCATTAGCAATTCCCATTAGCCTTAACTTCAAAATTCATCTAGATAGAATCCAATCATGCCCCGCCCTGTGCCATCCCAGTTCCAGCTACCATCACCTCCTGCCTGGAATGTCTCACCAGCCTCCTCTCCCACTTTCCCTGACAAACACAGTCTCTTCTGCACCCAGCAGCCAGAGAGACCCCAAGACATGAAACCTGGATCATGTCCTTCTTCTGCTCATAAGTCTCCAAATGACCACAGTGGACTACGTGTGCTGACATGATTTACACATGCAGACTTCTCCAAACTTCTCCTGCTTGCTGGCCCTTGCCTCCCTCTGTCTAATCACACGGATTTCTTTATTGGTCTTCCACTCACTGGTCAGTGTCCTGTTTCTGTGCATTTGCACCTGCTGTTCCCTCTGCCCAGAGAGCTCTTTGATCACACATTCAAACTGCAAATTCGTGAGCTTCCTTCACTCACAAAAAACACAAGCCAACCTACAGGATGGAAAAGAATATTTGCAAATCATATATCTGATGAGGGGTTAGTATCCAGAATACATAAAGAACTCCTACAACTCCATAACAATAAAACAAATAATCCAGTTAAAAAATGGGTCAAGAACTTGAATTAGACATTTCTCCAAAGAAGATAGATATACAAATGACCAGGAAGCATATGGATAGATGCTCAGCATCACTAATCATTAGAGAATGCAAATAAAAACTATCTATTAGGGTGTTTTTGAGCTACCACCTCACACCTATTAGGATGGCCACTATAAAAAAAAAGTAACAAGTGTTGGTGAGAATGTGGAGAAAAGGAAACTTTGTGCACTGTTGGTGGGAATATAAAAATGGTGCAGCCACTGTGGAAAACAGTATGGTGGTTCCTCAAAAAAATGAAAAATAGAGCTACCATATGATCCAGCAATTCCATTTGAGTATTTATCCAAAGAATTGAAAGCAGGATCTTGAAGAGATATTTACATCCATGTTCATTGCAGCATTATTTATAATAGCCAAGAGCTGGGGGTGACCCAAATGTCCATCAAGAGATGAATATATTCAAAAAGAAAAGGTGGTGTCTACATACCACATATTATTCTACTCAGCCTTTAAGAAGAAGGAAATCCTGTCACGTGCTACAACATGGATGAACCTTGAGGACATGATGCTAAGTTAAATAAGCCAGCCACAAAGAGACAAATACTGCATGAGTCCATTTACAGAAAAACAGAAAGTAAGGACAGTGGCTGCCAGGGTTTGGGGTGACAGGGGGAAGTGGGAGTTGTTGTTCAATGGGTACAAAAGCACTTCGGTTTCGTAAGATGACAGCATTCTGGAAATCTGTTGCACAACTGTACACTTCAAAGCGGTTCAGGTGGTGAGCTTATGCTATGGGTTTTAGCCACAGTAAATAGTAAAGAAAACCTCCACAAGCCATCTCCCAGCACTTTCTCTTCTCTATGTCCTGAGTTTTCCCCAAAGGACGC